CCACTATGCGTCGCCAGGTGTTTCATCGGATTTGAGGAGTTACCTCCTTTGACAGTATCACAGTATCAGCTTAAACCATTGTTGCAGGCTGCTGAGTTTGCATATTTTGCTGTGAAGTACAGCAAAGCGCTGCTTTTCGGTCTGGTTACTACCGTTTATGTCAGAACCGACACCGGTACCCATCCCTAATTGTAATATAGTCTATTTTAATGCACATTTCATATTACAAGCAAAAAACGGAGTATCAGTAGTAAGTGACAACAGGAACTCAGGGCCCCTCTCAATAGAATGTGGGACGGGTTTTACACTATTATGAAGGCACTGCTAGGATACTCCCATGCTAAACCTTTCTAGTTTGTTCTTTGCTGTTTCTATTTATCCTTATTATACAGAACTTACCACAGGTGTTTCCAGGTTATAGTCACACATTTTGTAAGCTTTAATAGGTTAACAATATGCTATTAATTAGAAACAGATAGTTTTGCATTTACAATTAGGCCATCCGGAGCGCAGAATGGACAAACTTTGTACAAACTGCGCAAAATGTGTTGACAATCACAATTCAGGGATTTGAGTCATTCTGTGCTCCAGATGAAAATATTAATCACGTTAATCGTGGTGATGACAGATTAATGCGCGTTACTGCGTTAATGTTGACAGCCCCACTATTTTCTCAATACAAATATTCTAATCATAAATCAATCATAAATAGCTCATAAGTAGCTATACAGTCTGAATGATGATCTAACTCACAGTTTTCAAATGACATATTCATGAGCAAAAAAGAAGATTCTGTGTCACAATAAACACACTCTGAATGCAAAATGAGATGTATTAATGCAAACAATTTTTTTAAATCAAGGATTAAAATACAAACAAACATCCTTCTAAAATCTATTTAACTTTACAATATTACAATTTTAGAATTGTTTAATGGTTTGATGATTTTTAGAAAGTCTACTCAACTTAAAAATAAAAAAAAGGAGGACAGATCTTCAGAAGGTTCATCACTCATTGAGATCTAAATGGGCTTTTGAGGCGCCTGAAAAGAAATCTCAAAACTGCACTGTAGGTACCAACAATGCAGTTCACATCTGGTTTTGAACTGAAGAAGCTTCTTGGATGAGAGTTGAAACACCTTCAAAAAACTCAAAGAAGTCTAGTTACTTTCTTTCCAAGCGCCTTATATTACCGCATATAGACAATCATTATACCTCATGACATTAATCAATCTGTTATTACTACAAAATAAAAAAGAAATGTGTAGTTTTCTTTATTATGCCTTCCTGATTTATGGTTTTTACATAGAAACTAAAAATTGTTTCTGGGAAATAAGCCACAGCATCATTGAAAAAGACATTTAATAATCACATCATTACATTCAAACAAAGGACCAGGATTATTATCAGGATAATAGTATGAAAAGTATCCTAAAATGTGAACTTATATTACCTTATGATCATGAGTTTAGTACCACATAAAGATCTTAATGTTAAATATGTTTTGTTTGAAATGCCCCATAGAAACTTACATTTTATTACTTACCATACTATATGTTATTGCTTCTTGGGAAAAATTTTCTTCCACAGTATTATTCCTAGTTCTTGTTCTTTTGTCTACGCTGTTTAGGGGTCTCCGCAGTAGATCATCAGCTTCCAACTTACCCTATCCCTAACATTCTCCTGTGTCACACGCTGATCACTTGTCAGAACAGGAAGTGGTGAACATTGTTGTAATACAGCTGAAAGAAGCATTAAATTCCCCTTCACGAACCACTACCTTATCGTGGAGGGGTTTGTGTGTCCCAGGGATCTCAGGGCTACAGTATGTTGTTCAAGTGCTTTTGTCCCGTGGTAGGGTCTCCCATGGGAAATTGGTCCTGGGTGAGGGACCAGACAAAGAGTGATTCAGAAGACCCTTGAGAGAATAAGGGGATATGGGCCCATCTTCCTGCAGGCCCACCACCGATAGGAGATGCCATAGGAGTTGTTTGCACTGTGTGCCAAGCGGTCGCCAGGCGCAGAGGCCCTGGCGGACCGATCCCCGCCTACCAAGACTGGCAATTGGGACATGGAATGTCACCTCTCTGGTGGGGAAGGAGCCTGAGGTCGTGCTTGAGGTTGAGAGGTACCGCTTAAGCAGGGCTTGGGCCTAAACAGTGTTAGGGTGTGCTGGGAACGTCTAGCAGAGGCCCCAGTCCGCGAGATCTTCAACGCACACCTCCGGCAGAGCTTCAACAGCATTCCGAGGGAGACTGGGGACATTGAGTCCGAATGGACCATGTTCAGCATCTCCATTGCCGAAGCTGCTGCATTGAGCTGCGGCCGCAAGGTGGTTGGTGCCTGTGGTGGTGGTAACCCCCGAACCAAATGGTGGACACCAGAGGAGAAGGGAGCCCCCAGTCTTATCGACCTTGGTTAGCCTGTGGGACTTTGGAGGCAGCTGATAGGTACCAACCAGCCAAGCGGAATGCGGCTCGGGCAGTGGCTGAAGCAAAAACTCGGGTGTGGGAGGAGTTCGGAGAGCCCATGAAAAAATACTTTTTTTCTGGTGACTTCATCGGGTGATGGACTCCAGCTCGCACTGAAACAGTTCGCAGCCGAATGTGAAGCAGCGGGAATGAGGATCAGCACCTCCAAATCTGAGACCATGGTTTTCAGCCGGAAAAGGGTGGAGTGCCCACTCTGGGTTGGAGACAAGTTCCTGCTCCAAGTGGAGGATTTTAAGTATCTTGGGGTCTTGTTCACGGGTCATGGGAGAAGGGAGCCAGAGATCGACAGACAGATTGGTGGTGTGGCTGTAGTGATGCTGACACTGCACCAGTCCATCATGGTGAAGAGAGAGCTGAGCGTAAAAGCGGTTTACCGGTCGATCTACATCCCTACCCTCACCTATGGTCACAAGCTGTGGGTAGTGACCGAAAGAACGAGATTGTGGATACAAGCGGCGGAAATGAGCTTCCTCCGAAGGGTGGCTGGCCTCTCCCTTAGAGATAGGGTGAGAAGTTCAGCCATTGAGGAGGGGCTTAGAGAAGAGCCCTTGCTCCTTCACATCGAAAGGAGCCAGTTGAGGTGGTTCAGGCGCCTGACAAGGATGACTCCTGGGTGAGGTGTTCCGGGCATGTCCCACCGGGAGGAGGCCCCGGGGCAGACCCAGGATATGCTGGATATATCTCTCGGCTGGCCTGGGAACGCCTTGGTGTTCCCCTGGACAAGCTCAAGGAGGTGGCTAGGGAGAGGGAAATCTGGGCTTCTCTACTTCGGCTGCTGCCCCCACGGCCCCAGATACAGCGGAAGAAAATGGATTGATGGTGGATGTTTTTTTTATTACTGAGTATAATGGAATGCTGAAATTTTGAAGGCCGGTTCTTTTTGTTGAGTTCCAATTCTCTGGTGGGGGCTTGGGGGAATTGAAAACTATTGAAAAATAACTCGGAATCATGTAGTGTTATTGTGAAAGGTGATTTTCTGTTTATTTACTTTACTCCAAATTAAATATTATTGGATTAAAATAAACCAAAAAATAAATAAAAAATAATAACTTTAAAAAGTTTACCTTTAAAAGTAAAATTTGAAGCTATTTAACAGAAAAAAGTTATAAATAAACAGATTTTTGAAATAAAAAAAAATTGAAAAGTTTTGTTTTTGCATTGAATTTGTGCAATAATTGCAAGTACTAGAAGCTCTGATATACTATGATTGATTTTTGTTCATTAAATATTTCTTAGTGTTCTTCTCAGGCTTGAACAATATGATAAAACACTTGGGAGCAAATATACACATTATTAGCCCAAAGCTGGAGGCCAGAATTGCAAAAATCTCCACAACTACAGTGAATTTCCCAGGGGAGCTGACATATGCTGGGATAAATGTGATCCAGACAGTACAAAATATCAGCATGCTGAAGGTGATAAGCTTGGCTTCATTGAAATTATCAGGTAATTTGCGGGCTAAGACTGCTAAAACAAAGCAAAAGGCAGCAAGTATGCCTAAGTATCCAAGCACAGCCCAGAAGCCAGCAGCAGAGCCTAATGCACATTCCAATATGATTTTCTCCTTGTACGTGGTTAGATTTTTTATTGGAAAGGGAGGGCTCACTACCAACCAAACAGTACATATTAAAACTTGAAGAAAGGTGAAAGACACAACAGTCATTCTTTGTTGTGGAGGGCCAAACCATTTCATCACATTACTACCTGGAAGTGTCGATTTAAAAGCCATTAAAACCACTATAGTCTTCCCAAGTACACAGGAGATACAGAGCACAAAGGTGATCCCAAATGCAGTGTGACGCAGCATGCAGGACCACTCAGATGGTGCTCCAATGAAAGTTAATGAACATAAGAAACACAGAGCCAGTGAGATGAGCAGCAGGAAGCTCAGCTCAGAGTTGTTGGCCCTGACAATTGGAGTTTTCCTGTGACAAAAGAATACAGCTGCAATTACGATGGTCAGACAGGCACCCACAACTGAGAATGTAGCCAGGATGATTCCTAGGATGTCTTGAAAGGAAAGATACTCTACAGGCTTAGGGATGCAAGTGTCTCTCTTTGCGTTAGGCCAGAATTCTTTTTGACAAGGTAAACAATCAGTCGAATCTGGATAAAAAACACATAAATACAAAATTTTCTTGATTTTCATATATACACAATGAAACATTTTAAATGCATGGCAATCATTTCTCTTTACCTGTGCTATTACTGATCTCCCCCTCAGGACATGCTGTACAGTCATAGCAGCAGATGGGTTTTCCTTTCTGCAACACTTTACGAGTTCCTGGAGGACAACTGTCCGTGCACACTGACACTGGCACCTGTCAAAGACATAAATGTTGGAGAATACATGTAAATATTTACTATGCAGCTGTAATCATTGTTTAGTAAAGTTTGAATGCTTACTTTCATGCTACCCTCCATCCAGGTAATGTTTTTGTCGATCTGGAATTCCTGGCCCACGGGCCGTGATGCATCATACAGCCCTACAGTCACCATGTCAGTTGCGCCCTTTTCATTTTTCTGCCAGTTAACCAGTTCATAAATAGCCACAGGATCCCCATTAGCGTCAAATGACACATCATAGCCATTTCGGGAAAAATTTACTTTCTTCAGCTCAATTAAAATCTGAAAAGATGAAATTAGGTATAATGGGAGGGGAAAGGAAAAAAAATATGCACAATTTCAATAACAAATATTAATATTACATACAATGTTCCCTCTAATCTTTCATGTGTCTGAGCGAACACGCAAACTCCCTGAGCGGTCCCTTGGACCACTGTGAGCAACAGTAGACGTGAGCACTGTGGCCACGCCATCATCGAATCCATCCAAGTTACATGGTTTATTAAAATAATCCAATAACAGCATTTATATTTATGTTAGACTACTTTTAATTAAGTGCTTTAGCCCACTTACATTGAAATTTTAAAAAATCTTGTTCATGACCTGTGTAGTATGTTAACACTATTGGAAGTAAAAATAACTTGAACTCCAATTTATAAACACAACTTTCTTTCTTTTTTTTAAAATAGAGCTCTGACTTTTATTATGAGTCTGTGGTCTGGGAGAGATTCCTGTAACTCTCTGTCTGCAATATACAGTATATAAAGACCAATGTTGGGCAATTAATTATATAGTTACTTCTTCAAAAAAGTTACTGAGTTTTGCAAACAACAAAGTTTTTTGCAGCTGTTTACCTAAACATGCAGCCAAGGCATTTTTTTAGACAAACATTTCAAAATATTTACAGAACAATCAGCTGTTCTGCAACAAATTTGATGCCACACAAATTATTTGTGCCACTCCAAAAAATTATTTCTGTCCACTATGAGATAAAGGAGAACAACAGCCTGATACCTGCAGGCCGACAACAGGAGATGTATCACTGCTGTAACACCTGTAACATTCAGCAGTCGCCTCATTGTTCTGACACACACAACAAATATAAACAACGATAATATTCAGGAAGAAAACCAAACATTGCATATTTGCCTCTTGGTGTAGTTCCTCCATATTAGCAGGGCTGTCTATAAGGCGTCTAATTTTTCTTGCTTTTCAGTGTCATAAAGCTGTTGAATTTTACTTGAAATAGTCTTTTGGCAGAGCAGTTGGAAGTTGGATCACCTGACGCTAAGTGTAGTACATTTTCTAACCCCCTTTCTTCTACCACTGATAGTGGGTTACAGTCCAGAGCAATCAATTTTGCGAGAGAATTTGTAAATTTGTCCAATGTTGACTTACTAATTTTAGTCCTTAAGTTAGTCATTTCATCAAGTTTGGGCTGCCATTACCTTTTGTTGGTACTCAGACTGCTAGCAACATGTTTTGCATTTAGATGGTAATGGAAGGTTGAAGTGCTTCTGTGGTATGCAAACTCCATTTTTCACAGTTTGCACAAAGCCACACTTTTATCAAGCCTTCCATTGGGTAGTCTTTTGAAATTAAACTTGCCTCCAATCATTCCTAGCAATGCACTTTCTTCTGATTCTGATGTGTGCATCAGTGTAATCAATATACCAAAAAATTGTGCATTGACAAAAGTTAGCCTTTGCCTGGAATGCAAACTGCAATTAAATACATAATTTTTTTAGTACATTGTTTTTTTCTAAATTAATTAATTGCAATTACTCCTAGTTTTTATATAACCAATTCAAAGTACTTATAGAACAATCAGGTAATAAGATAACACGCAAATTATTTTTGCTACTCCAAAAAAATATTTCTGTCCACTCTAACATAAAGGAGAACATCACAAGCCTGATACCTGCAGGCCTGAAAGCAGGAGGTGTATCACCCCTCATGTCTTCGACCTGGAGGCAACGTTTACATTGCAAGTGGCCTTTGGTGGCGTTTTGGCAGTAACTGCAATATTTAGCAGTTGCCTCATTGTTCAACACACTGCACAACACACTTACTACACATTCCTAACATGCCAATCTCTTACATCTCAAAACTCGCTCTCTCTCTCTCTCTCTGCTGTTTTCCCCCTCTTCCTAAACAACCAAAGCCATTTTGCCATATCATCTTCTGAGTGGTCGATCATGGCACATTTTTCCATCCTATATGAAAAAGGTGTTTTTTTCTTTTCTTTCTTTTTTTGATCGCAAGAAGAGACTGCTTTTGAGCGCTTTCCTTAGAAAACACTGTTTTTACCGTTTCTTTCTGCAGTAAACATGACAACAATATTCAGGAAAAAAAGACATTGTGTGTATTTGTTATTGTAACTCTGGTTTTATGTGGCCTATTAACACAATTTAAAAACTGGTACATACTTTGAAGTTCACACTTTTAAAACAAAAATTGGAGGCTCAGGGTTGACATAGCATCTTGTTGCTGTGTCATCTTAAATTGGTCATGTGTAGTTTGATTCATCATCGGATACCTTCATGATGATATAGAGCAGTGGTTCCCAAACTTTTTTTGCTGGGCCCCCCTTTGTTTTACAAAAAAAATATTCGCCCCACTCCCGTGCGCCCACGCACAATCACATCCTCCAACCACACACACCGATATTTTGCTCCATTGCGGTTTATTTCACACCTCAAACATTTAGTAAACAATTAAGCAAATACAAGTAATCTGCAGGTAGTAAGAAAATAAACTACTAACTCTTTTACGATGCGTCCGCACGTACACGGGTGATTTTGAAAACGCAGCTGTTTCGTCCACACGTAAACGGCGTTTGGAATCACCGAAAACGGAGATTTTTAAAAACTCCTTTTTTGGGTTTATGTGTGGACGAGGAATACAGAGTTCGTCACGCAACGTCAAAGGTATGTGCCTTTTTTCACGTCACGCTGTGCGCCACGTTATTGTTTACATGAGAATTGCAGAATGGCAGATAGTCAGATTAAAAGTATTTTGTCTCTATCTTCAGGTTTTACACACTTACATTTACACAGTTACTGTCCCTTCCATTTAGAAAGGCAGAGGCACGGTGTATTATTTTAGTTGTTTTTTTTCTGTGTAATAATATTCAACATTGCTATCAATACATTTTCAAAAAATGCCTCTCTGTGCAAAATGGGTTGAAAAACATAAACAACTGTGAGATACTGTTTGTCTTTTATATATATATATATATATATAAATATATATAAATAAGACTCTTAGATAACTTTGAAATGTTAATCTTTGGTTTATTTCAGTGTTAATCTTTGGTTTATTTCAGTGTTTTATTTGTTCCTCAGTCCGTGCTCACATTCTCGGCATGCGAGTATGGACTTGCGTACTTGAGAATTGAGAAAGGGCCATGGTAAACTAGGATTATTTTCCATTTTTTATTTTATTTATTTTAACCTTTTAGAAATATGTTTCATGTTACCAGCATGATTTGCAACATTTATAAAGAGAACACATCTGAGATCTAGTTTAATGTTGACATCTGCTCTGTCTTTTTGTGATTTTAGATGCCACTGCAAAGAAGAAAGTATGTGATGGAAATGAAGACATACAGAATCTGCAAAACCAGTACACTGACACATCACAGCTCAGAGTTACTAACATGGTGTACAAGGCCGTGTATGCAGTAGCACATGCCATCCATAATGCAGTGTGCAAGGAAATAAATGGCACTGCAAAGTGTGACAAGTTAACCAAGTTAGAGTCCAAACAGGTCAGAAGAAATAAATATGTTGATGCCAGTGTCTTTCATCAACTGCAATATGAGTTGATATGTAATCAGTGTTCCCTCTAAGCTGCGCGCGTGCGCAATTGTGCACTGCTGGCACGGTCTCTGCGCAGAAAAAAATCTGCATTGCGTAAACAATTCTAACCTGAATTGAAATTAAATAAATACTTTAACAATTCTGTTTTGCAGTGTTAGTCAGTAAGTGACTGGCTGCTCCTGTATGGGATTAGAACGATGCCACCTTATCCCATAGTCCAGCCAATCACGCGATTCACATTCGTATATACGCAGCTAATCAACGTCGTTGACAGGCTATGACAGCGTCCTTATGTGCCGGTGTTTTAGCTAGCAAAGCGGCGTGGCTGATGTGGAGTGAAGCCACGTTAATGACAACGTGTACAACCATTGGAGATGTGAGCAGGACAGACGGAACAATTGACGGAAAAAGTGTGGACTTTATACCAGTTTTTAAATTGTGTTGATAGGCCACGTAAAACCAGAGTTATGATAAAAATA